TGGATAAGTTACTGCGCTTCAGTTTCCTCAGTTGTAAAATATGAGCAAAAGTTTGCACTGGTAGCTCACACCTGCAAGCCTAGCTTCTCAGGAGGCAGAGATCTGAGGACCGCGGTTCAAAGCCAGGCCGGGTAGGAAACTCCTTGACACCAATAAACCACCAGAAAACTGGAAGTGGCACTGTGGTTCAAGTGGTTCAAGCGTTAGCCTTGAGCTGAAGAGCTCAGGGACAGTGCCCAGACCCAGAGTTCAAGCCCCATGACCAACACCGCCCCCCCCCAAAAAAGTGAGTAAATATTACATCTCACTTAAAGGGTTTTATGCAGATGAACAGAACTGGAGTGAAAATTGGGCTAGTATTAGGTCAAGCATCAGGCACCAAGGGGTAGATTCTCAGGACTTGTTTTTTCTCCTGCTTATTGTGTACTTTTAATGTTTTGATAAGACCTGACTTCTGGCCCTGGCTGTGTTAATGATGCTGGAGTGCCAGGCACATGGGTGAGCCTTTTGAGGTGCTTCTGTCAGTTGAGGGGCTGGAGATATTTTGCATCTCTCTCTGGTTTTGTGAAATTTGTGGAAGGCAGGTTCTCCCTCCGCCCCGCCCCCACAACACCCCAGCCACCGCCAGGGGAGGTGGGGAGGCTGCAATGCTTCTGTCTTCAGATCTGAATTAACTGTGCCAGTGGTTATGGTAGAGTTAGAGAATGAGCTGGGCCAATTCCCTGGCCCTGAGCTCACTGTCCACCTCTTCTTCTCGGGGAACAGACTGGGATCCACAGAACAACATTGCCTCCCTCCCAGAGAAACCAGCACACGAGGATGGGCTTTCATTTGGGTTTCATTGGATGTTTCTTGGCTGGTACAGGGCTCTTCCTGGGTCTGATGAATCATGCTATGAAGGGGCCCAATTAGATTCTTAAGGGCTGTGCTTAATTCCAGTGAGCATGGAAAGGAGGAAAGCAGGGTTTGTAACTAAATAAAACTCATGGTAGTAGATGGCAGATGGTCACGGCTAGATGTCCTTGGGGACTGATTTCTTAGGGCTTTTGATCATCAGACATTTCATTTTCAAAGGCAAAAAAAAAAAAAATCACCACAATGCCACAGGCATACATAGCCAGAAACAACCTGCATGCTGATGGTCTCGCAGGCAGTGTGAAATTCTAGGTTATTCATAAACCTTTCTGACAAGTGAAAATAACCTGAGGAGACAGAGTCTATGTGCCCAGTACCTGGCAAGGCACCAGCACACCGGAGGCACTGGAAAATTCCTTGAATGGATAAATGGATGAATGCACACCGAAGGCACTTGAAAATCCCTTGAATGAATGGATGAATGGTTGTAATAGTTATTAATTGACTCTTTTCCCACTGTACCTTGTTGAGTCCTGTGCCCCTGGGTTTGGAGGTATATTTGTTATTGAATCACCTGTCTTAGCTGTGGCCAACCAACCAGATCTCAAGCCTGGAAGAAGCTGTGGAGACATGTGGCACTTAAATGTTGATGTAAGCCAAGGTGCTGGTGTGCACCACTGCCTTGCATTCAACTGATTGCAGTCTGAGACTATTTTTTAAAAAAAAGCACATCAATAGCCAGGCACTGATGGCTCAGGCTTGTAATACTAGCTCCTCAGGAGGCTAACATCTGAGGATGAAGGTTCAAAGCCAGCCAGGAGAAGAAAGTTGCTGAGACTCTTATCTCTTAGCTATCCAAAAGCTGGAAACAGAGATGTGGCTCAAGTGGTAGTGTACCATCCTTGAGCAGAAAAAGCTAAGAGACAGCACCCAGACATGTGCAGATGTTTGTTCTTGCCAGTCACCACCAGTCCCTAAAAAATCCAATGGAATAATGATTTACAGAACTTTACGTGGCATTAGGAATGATAAGTCAGGAACCAGTGAAACAGTGATGGTGTACTGCCATTTATACAAGGGACCATGGACTATATGCCCTCCTCAAGGGTCCCAGGACCTCTCCCCTCTATCCACCAAGGGACAACTACTATTGCCAACCCTTCCCAAGTCTCCCAGGTGGCACGGTGGCCCTTGTTCTTACCATTTGGATGTGATTAGCTCAAGAGTCAAATGTGACCATAAGACCTTATGCCCTGTGGTGGTACACTTGGGTTTGACTTTTGAGGGGGCATCTATATCTGTACCCTCACCCAACACCAGAATAAGGATGCATTCCATGGCTCTCATTTCAAATGCCATGGTGTCTTTAGGGTTAAGTGGAGGCAGGCTGAGGAAAAGTTATTTACTCTGGAATATGACTTGTGTCTCTGCCTCTTGTGTGGTAGTGGTGGTGATTGTGATGTGGGGGAGCTCATCTTACCAAAAAGCAGTTTGGGGGCCCTTCCTGATGATCTAACAAAATGCCAGCTGCAGGCATGGAGCCTCAAAACTGTCATTTAAACAAGCTCACCAATGCAGCAAGTGAGTAGAACCCATCGAAAAGCTGTAAGGATTGGTTTATTTATTTATTTATTGTGTGTGTGTGTGTGTGTGTGTGTGTGTGTGTGTGTGTGTGTGTGTAGTGGGGGTGGATATCTCTTCCTAGAATTGTTTTACTCTTGCTCCTCTTCCCTATCAAGTTGGTGGACCTGTTTGTGAGTGTCCTAACCTGATTGTCAAACCCTGGTGGGCAGGACTGGCCTATGATCCAGAGGCTGAATCCCCGGTTGGCTGAACTAAAAAGAATGGGGAGGGGACCCTTGGCAGCATCAGCCATATTTGAGTCTTGATTGCCTGCTTCTACCTACTCTCCTTGATCATAAATTGACTCTCGTTGGGGGGCGGGGGGCCGGGCTTGGAACAGTGATCTGTTAACTGTGGGTCCTCTGCTGTGGGAAGGCTGGATCACCCCCGGAATTGCCACACACAGAAGCCCTCCACACACAGCGGGATGGCTCTCATTCTCATAAAAAGCACACAAGGCCCTGCTACTTTTGTAGCCTGGGGTGCTGAAGTTATTTTGCACCTCACCCCATGAAATCACAGGCCGGGCTGGAGGCAAAGGGTCCAGGCTACAGGCCTCACACAGTCAGAGCATCTTAAAGGCCTCGTATTAGAAAAATAAACCAATTAAATAATACTGCCCGCCATAAAGCAGACTTATAATAGATCCGCAGCGGGGTCCTCTCTTTGGCGGTCCCACAGCCCTGGTCTCGATGAGCCTGTGTGCTGCCCTGGGGAGAGATTAATCTGGAATGGCGTGGGCATAATTTTACACGTTTTATGGCTGCTTTTTTTCTCTCCCAAAGTGTTGCTGTGTCATTGTACACCAAGGGCAACGTTCATGCGTGTGACCGTTTGCCTCCTTTTTGGTGGAAATGAAAAATGAAGTAATAAATGAAAGAAAAACACAAGGTAGATTTTTTTCCCCCTTCCTCAAGAACAAAAAGCCAGTGTTTTTCTGGATACCCTAATCAAAGTCTAGTGGCTTCTATGGATTGCCGTTTGTCCTCAATCCCTTCCCCCCCCAGGCTGCCAGATTCACAGGCTGTGATTGGGGTTTAGGTGCTGTGATCTAGGTTCTCCAGGGCAGTGGATGGCAAATACTTACTAGTGGGGTCAAATCCAGTCCACTGTCCATTTTTGTTAAGCAATTGGAAAAACAAAAAATCCAAAGAGGAAGAAAAAGAGTTCTTGACACACAAAGATCTAGAGTGCACTGCCTGGACATGAAGTTTTATGGGTGCTCCATTGTCACGCTCTGCTGTGTTGGTGGTAGCTGTTTGACCCCACCATGGCCAAGACTAAGTACCGTCTGGCTCTTTCCAGAAGTGTGCCAGCCCCGCCCGTGGAAGTGGAGGAGAAGGAGAAAGGAAATGGGGCCTCCTGTCTCCTGGATCAGACTATGTTTCCTTTCAAGGAGCCACCATGGGGATTCAAGAGATAAGCCAAGGGGGACTTGTCTGGCAGGAGTCAGTTCACCTGGATGTCTATAGGCATCACATCTGCTGTTGTGAATGACTGCTCATTGTTACTGACCTCAGACTAACTTCAGAGCTTCTGGCTTTAGCACAAGTCCCAATACTGGTGCATGCTCGCGCGTGCGCACACACACACACACACACACACACACACACACACACACACACACACACACACAAACCCAGCCATACTCTGTGTTATGGTGATCCAGTCAACATCTGACCAGGCAAGGTTATATAATAGAGCCAAAAAAATCCTATCGCCTCGTGATGTGCATCACATTCACTGAAATGTCATAACACAATGATAGTGCTCGTGTGTGTGTGTGTGTGTGTGTGTGTGTGTGTGTGTGTGTGTGTGTGTGTATGGTGATGCTGGCGTAAACATACCCACTGTGCTGCCAATTGAATAAAAGCATCGCATGTGCAATTATGTACAGATAGGGAACTTGATAATGATGGTAAATGACTACATGTATTTACTGTGTATTTACTTCATGCTTATCATTATTTGACAATATACTCTTTCTATTTATTAAAAAAATGTTAACTGTGAAAGTCTTTTCATCTTATACCAGCAGCTACCTCCTGTATCTAGTGTTTACTTATCTCTTGACTACACCAATAGCCTAGAGTTGTACTACCCAGACTTGCGTAATACTCTCTGTCAAGTTCACACAGACACCATCACCTAATGATGTTCTCAGACCTTGTCCCCGTTGCTAAGCAATGGAGACTGTCCATTAGCCAGCCCAGTGTGTGGTTGAACTTGCTCTCTTGGAGTGATCTTGACAATGTCTTTCATTTCAGAGAACTGTAAATGTGGTTGTGTTTCCTTGTAGACTTGCTGGGGAGCATTCTTTAGCACAGTTTAGAACCTTGGGGTGAATCACTGCCTGCCGTTGGATCAAGAAATAGCCCTGAGGATCTGCCTTTGCTCGAAGCAAAGCTAAAGTCTTTCTTCTTCCTCCCTATTGCTTCCTTGCTCCTTGGATGCCTTTTTCTTTGTCAGACAAGACACCTGTGTTTCGCTCATTTCTGATCAGTTTTACTTTCTTCCCTTAGTCATGAGGAGGAATCCGTTTGGTGTGGACGTCTGCTGCAGAAAGGGGTCACGAAGTCCTCTGCAGGAACTCTACAACCCCATCCAGGTAAGCTCCCAGACGCCTGTGCTCGTGTGGCTCTCTCTGTTGGCACGTGTCAGTTTGAGGGTGAGGGAGCTATGCTGAAAAACTCCAAAAGTGCATTTGTTGGGGGGGGGGGATTTAAAATCTCTTCTCTTTCTTGGCATTTTACTGTCAGTGGTTACTTGTTGACTCCCCTTTCTGTTAGATGGGTTGAGCATTCCTAATTGGAAAACTCCCAACCCCAAATCCTTCTAAGCCCAAACTTTTTTGAGAATCAAAATGGCCCCTCAAATAGAAACTAACACACCCTGACATCACTGATGGGTCATAGCCGCAATGCTGATGCAGTGAGAACATTCTAGAAAATGACCTTCAGAATGTGCATAGGAAGCACAAGTGAATTCCTCATTATTCATATGCAAATTTTCTAAAATAATTAAAAGTTTACTATCTGAAACATTTCTGTTTCTTTTGGATAAAGGGGCAGTCAACCTGTAGAACATTCTGACACTCTAGCAGAGATTTTTAGAATTAGAGTTATAGAGGGGTTAGTGCCGGACTGTACTTTGGTACCTACCCAGGGTTCAAACCTTGGAGACATAGACATTGCAGGCCCCAGAAATGGAACTCTTGACTTGATGCCTCAGCCAAGCTATGAAGAACCTCCTCCTGCACCTCCAAAGAAGGCCTGCAGATGGGTAAATCTGGCATTCACCAATTGCACGTAGGATTCGTCAAGTCACTGATACCTGAGAAGTGTACTTTTCTTCACCAGTTTGGCAAGATCCCCTTGTGTTGGGTGACTTTTGCCAACTGATTGTCACAGTCACCCTGACTTGTTAGCTTAGGGAGGTAGCAAATGTGACATCTGTGTTGTTGATGATGTAAAGAGGTCCTCTTGCAGCAAGAGCGGCTCCCATGTAGAGAATGTGTTCCGCATGGAGATTAAGAAGCAAAGTTTGGAGGTCTGGTCACCATGGCAATGGCCTTGGTGGCCTATGGGTCTTGATGGGAGGGCTCCAGGGCTGGTCCATTTGCAGGGGCCATAATTAGTACCTTCTGCTGAGGGTTGCTCAGTGGCAACATCAGCGAAATCAACTGACCTTCAGTAGCTTCTGAGAAGGGGTGTGGGATAGTAAGAAACTGCTGAAGCAGCCTAAAGGCCAGAGTCTCTGGACATCAGTTTGGACTGAATTCTTAATTTTATACTTCTGGGGCCCATGGTGTTTGGTAAAAGAGTTTGGGCTTCACTGGTACTGAATTCTTAAAGCTTTTGCAAAAGAACCTTCTTATTCCTACATCTCACCCGCACTCCCTTCTGAGTTCTGAATGGCAGAGGGACTCTCCTGTCACTGCTCTGTCTTGGAGCTCTAGGTATGGCAATTAATACTGCTACAGGCTTCTTCTGCTGGATTCTGGGCTCGCTCAACAGGGAATTTGGTGCCCAAGTACCCTAACTTGTATGGGGGTGTCTCCTGGTCTTCTGTATCCTCATCTCCAGGAGATAGCCATTTCCTTTTTTTCTGGTAATACTTTTTTTTAAAATTTGGTGTTTATTAGGTTGTATATAGAGAGGTATTTTTTATCTTGACATTTCAATATATGCTTATAACACAGTGGATCATATTCACCCCTTGATTATAATCTCTGGTAGTCTCTCTTTTACTTTCATGTCTTTGGTTGTTTTGTTTTATAGTTTTATTTTCTCCTAGCTTCTACAAGTGAGAGAAGACATGTGGTACTTGTCTCTGTGAGCCTGGCTTATTTCACTTTACATGAAGATCTCCAGTTTCATCTGTTTCCCAGCAGACGATGTAGTTTTATTCTTAGTGGCTTAGTAAAACTCTGCTGTGTCTATATCTATCCATCCTTTGATGGCGCCTAAGCTGATTCCTTCACTTGGCTATTGGAGCAATGCTGTGCTGACCGAGGCATCCCCGGCCTTTGATTATACATAGGGTTTTTGGCAGGCAGGGCAAAGCACATAAAGACCATTCGGATGTAAACCACTCCCTCATTGCTGATATCCTATGTTACAGGCAATTTAGGATGTCCTGGCTATTGCTGACACAGCTTCCTCCTCTGCCTGAAAGTCCAGAGACTGTCCTGGTTACCATTGTATCCCCAACACCTCATACAAGGCTTGGTCAGTTGCGAGGTTCCCTCCTCTCAGTAAGCTTGTGACTATTTGAAAGGTGAAAGTCTAGGTTCGAGTTCTTCCTTCACATCTGTCTAGCTATACAGCCTGGAAAACATGATGAGTAAAAAAGACTTTTTTCCCCCAACAGAGAATCTCTCTGGAATGTTGGGAGGATAAAATAATTCTGATGTGTCAAGGGCTATGTGAGGGTAATTTGTCATTTTTATAACCAGGAGGGTAGCTGTGATATTAGAAGGTCAGACCTGGAGTAGAAGCCCCGCGTCATTTCCCAGCTATGTGCCTATGAGCTGGCTACACAAACCCTCTGAGCTTCTTGTCCTTCCATTTATCACGTAGTATAAATAATACCCACCCTGCACGAACACATGGTGACATGTGCAGAGTTTGTGCCCTCCTGGTTGGCCCGTTTGCTATGACAAGTGCTTACTGAATGCCACTGGGCTCCAAGCATGAACATAGACATGAAAGAGTGCTCAGGGCCTGTGGTCAGCCCTCTGTGTGGCTTACATTGTTATCTGCCCCTGGGCAGTGTGCAGAAGTGGTAGGGCTAGGTAGGCCCTGCTGGGTATCTTTGTAATCCAGTCAGAGGAGAGGGAGACCCCCTCCTGGGTAGAGATCGCTTTCCCCCTTGTGGTGGCTTGAGTGTTGTTTGGGTGAAAGGCTCATTTCACACTGGTCTAGAACTTGGGGAGGGCAGGTGGGGCTGGAGAGGCAGCATTGCGAGTCACTGCAGGCGTGGGTGGGTGAGTCACTGAGTGACTACCCTTGTTCAAGGACATCTTGAGCATGGTGTCTAGCCCAGGGAAATTGTGTCTGTGCAGGAATCTTGCCCCATTTCCTCGGGATGTTGTCTCAGGATATTCTCCCCTCCCCCGCCCCCACCAAGGGCTGGCTTCCTTTACAAGCAGCGATTATGTTCCATTCCCACGCAAACTCCTTAAGTGGTACTCTTTGGAGAAGCTGTCCAGGCCTGGGGTGGGCGGGGGAGTTGAGAAGGGAAGAGGGAGATAGGTGGAGTGGGAGTGAGACTTGTGTCCACCAGATAATTTACAGACTTTGCAGCTGATTGGGCTGGGCTTCTGTGCCTCATGTTTTCCTACCAGCCACGCTGTAAGCCCAGAGCAATGGTGTGTGGATGAGGCGGGAGACCGAGGCTGATAATGTTATATCCACGCCACGGAGAGCTACTAAGGAAGAGGCTTGAGCTTCATCAAAGCTACAAACCCGCGATGTTCTTGCTGTCATTAACAACAGTGGTGGCAGGAATTATCCCTTCCTCAGGAAAACGGGCTATACTCTGATTCTAGTGTCTAGGGTTTTCTTATTTTAGTGCCCAACGAACCTCTCACCATTTAAACAACAATTGGATTTTAAAGACAAAAAAAAAACAAAACCTCTCTGACTTTGTAGTTGATATTCTTAGCAAAACTGCACTCTGATGTCTTATAATTTTCCCGGTTCTCTGTTGTCTTCCTGGACCTAAAATAAACCATAATTGCCCATCAGATCAGCTGGCTTCGAGTCACCCAAAGTTCAGGAGTTGCCAACTGTATATTTGTGGGCCAAGAACATCTGTGGGCTTCCCGGACTCAGCTCAGACTCTCGGGGCAGAGCTTCACTGTCAGCCATTAATAGGGCATAATTGCCCTTAAATGCCAGCGAGGGTGAGACGTCTTGTCCTCCTACCTCGCCCACCTCCTGGGCTTCTTGTGGTTTTCCTGAAGTCTTCATAGCATCACTATGTGGTTCAGCCCTGCCAGGCCTCAGTCTTTCTTTAGCATGTGCATTTGTTGTGTGATGTACCTTGGATGTCCAACCGGGCAGGGCCAAGTCAGCCATCTGAAGACTTCCTCAGTCCCTGGGGACCAGTTGACCAATTAGACCAACTATGGGGTCCAGCGATGTTCTGGATGATCTGTTGGAGGGTCACACAAAAAGCCAAATAAAATCAGTAAGAGGGGGAAAAATGAGAGAGACTGGCACCCCCAGGCCACCCCCCTATCTCTGTCAGACGATGGTCTCAGTGATCACTTCTTCAGTGCGCTAAAGCAAACTTCCATCTCTGTCAGGTGAAGTCCAGAAAGAAGAGCGGAATGAAGGGAAGAGAGGCAGGGAAAAGGGAAGGGAGGCACGAAGGAAGAAAAAGTAGCTGTTCACTGAACTTCTAATATATGCCCGTGACAGACATTTTCAAACATGTCTCATTTCTCTGTCTCTATTGGACTGGGGATGGGACTCGGGGGAGGAGGAGAGGACCCTCTGCTGAGCAAACGCCATCGCTACCTCTGAGTTACATCCCAGCCCCTCACCATCCTAAGGAAGTGTCATTTTTCCTTAAACCCATTTTCCAGATAGGCTCACCGAGGCTCCAGAGAGGCTAAGCAATTTGACAAGATCATGCCAGAACCAAGCCTCTCTGACTCTCTAGACTGTGGGAGGATGAGAGCCTAGCAGCTCTTTGCCAAGTGGAAAAATGCTGCCTGGTGACTCAAGCTGTGGCCTGGGGTGTGCTCCGGACCAGTTGTGAAAGTCACAGAGTGCTGCCAGCCTGGGGCAGGCGTGGGACGATGTGCAATGATCAATGGGTGTCCATGTAGCTATAGATTAGCTTAATGCAGTGAGAGACCTTTGCCTCTGGGCTGGAGGCAGGCTCAGCTGGAATCACCCCCCCGAAACCCTGTTTTGAACGTCAAACCTTGTCTGACTTTCACAGATGCTGAAATCAGGGTGTGCTGCTTGGGGAAGGGGCAGGAGAAGCATTTGGTACCAGTGGATCGGCTCTGCACTCTTGCAGAGAGTGTGATGGTGAGGGTTGGTGGGCGCCAGGGCCTCCCAGAAGATGGTGTTTGATTCCTGAATGGCC